GGACCCCTCGCCGCCTCCGTCCTCCAACCCCTCATCAACACCGCAAACACCCCCGCCTCCGAAACTGACCTGAGCACCCTCTACTTTGGCAATTGCCGTGAGCTGTACCTCACCCTGCCCGACGGCAGCGCAACTCCTCACCCCCTCCTCATCTCCCGCACCGGCTACACCGGCGAAGACGGCTTCGAGATCTCCATCCCGACTTCCGGCGCTGAATCCCTCCCCCGACAAGTCACCGAGCTCCTCCTCGCCGACAGCAGTAAGTCCCGTCTCGCCGGTCTAGCTGCCCGTGACTCTCTCCGTCTCGAGGCAGGCATGTGTCTCTACGGCCACGATATCTCCACCTCGCAGACTCCACCCGCCGCGGCCCTTGGCTGGGTCGTTGGCCGTGATCGTCGCGATCCTGCCACTGCCACCTTCAACGGTGCTTCCGTCATCCTTTCCCAACTCGCCAGCCCGAAGACTATCTCCCAGCGTCGCATCGGACTGTCTGTTGAGAAGGGCCCCCCCTGCTCGTGAGGGCGCTGTCGTCGTGGACATCTCTGACCCAGCGAACCCCGTTGAGGTCGGCGTTGTCACCTCCGGTCTGCCGAGCCCGTCGCTTGGCGGTGCCAATATTGCTATGGGATATGTCAAGCAAGGGCTTCACAAGAAGGGTACCGAGCTGGCTGTTAAGGTCCGCAATAAGGTCCGCAAGGCTACTGTTGTTGGTATGCCTTGGATTGAGAGCAAGTTCCACCGTCCCCCTCAATAAAGGATAGAGGGTCTATTCTTCTCCTTCTAGGTTCTTGTTTTGTGCTGTTCGGTTTTGTTCCTTTCTGAAATGGAGAGACTTGTGCGAAAGACTAGCGTTTCGATGACTTTTATTACTTGGCCTGTGTATATATGTTTCCGATTTTATGACTGATATTCATCATATCAAAAGACTTTCTGACTTCACATTTTGATTATATGCTAGCTCTGCTCGCACAAATATGTATCTTGACTATTATTTTCCAGTCACATACAGTTGCTTCGATTCTGCTTCCGCAGCTGATATATTCAATATTTTTTCTACCCTCTCATGGTGTAATCTCTGGCCTTGAAGCCATTGGCGGCATATCTGCCAGTATCATCGACGCATCAATTAGGATATACAATAGCGCTCGAAACGGAAAAGAATATGTAAATCCTTCTAAAAATACGTAAATTTCATTTAATCATTATATGGCTCGCCAGATACTCCATATAAATCCAAGAACCAGAAATGACCAACGCCCTTTTTGCCTGCACACCTCACAACGGGGGATAACAGGATAGTAAATAGCTATCACGGCCCATTGAGCTCCACAGTCTTTTTGGCTTCTTGGTTCTGCATTAATTAAATCTTATTGAATCGTAAAGACACATAATTTATGCAGTTTTAGGTGGGTTCTATAAGTATTTTATTTAAATTAGGATGCCTGTAGATCAGATCTACTCAAAACCTACTTGATATTCCGAGTTGGAAGCAAGAATTATGTATTCAATGCAAACAAATGATGTTATAAGGATAAACAACCTACCAAATACACAAGCTGAGGAAGCAGGTACCTCCAGGGTTACAAGCAGCACAGCCCCAAATCAACCAACCAAGTTCCCTGTATCCACAAGACGATTAGGAAGGCAAAGCACGCTTCGACCGAAGACCATCAAAATCACCAAACTCCCCAACCCCAACAACACTCGCCCACATGGGGTCCCTTACAGTCCCATCATCACCACGGACCTCAGCCTCCGGTGCTAAAGAAGGCGGCAAATCCTCGGGTTTAGTCCCCCACTCACTCTCCTCCTTTCCAAGAACAAGAATCAATTCCCGCCCCTCTGTGAAGAAATCATGACCAATCCAATTCTTGGTATAAGGCTTCCCATCTAGGGTAGCAGATTGAATAAACCCATTCCCACCAGCAGCAGCACCAGTAGCATTAGCCGTATTATACTGAGCCCAGTTCACCGTCTTCAGCGTTGCCGTTTTCCCCGTCAGCGGGGAAACAATACTAACGGACTCGAAGAATGGCACTGTGAGTAGGTACACGCTCTGACCTGGGTTCGGGAACAATCCCATCATCGCCATCGCGACGAATGAACCCATTGCGCCTGAATCGTCATTACCCGGTAGTCCAGCTGGCGTGGGGGAAAAGTAGTCTGGAATATAGGTGCGTACGCGGGATGTGGACTTAGCTGGACACCCAGCATAGTGGTATTGGAAAACTGTTAGGAAGGCGGGCTCGTTGCCGATGTAGGTTATGTTTTGGTCGTGGAGGTAGTCGAGGCGGGCGACGAAGTTGGTGGGGCCGCCGAGGAGGGATATTAGAGTTTGCATATCGTGGGGGACGAAACTATGGGGATGGTTAGAAGAGGACTGGGGTGCTGGGATTAGGTTGACAAAAGAGATCTGACAGCTTACAATTGATACTCCCAGATGCTGGATTCAAAAGTTTCGCCTGCAGTGTTTTGTAGTGAGCAGGCGTGTCCGCTCTGGTCGATGTTCGAACATGTGAGGGGATCTTGGACGCCCCATGTTCCATTCAGATACTTGGGCTGGAAGAAACCGGTGAAGCCGGTGTCCTTTCCTTGCCAGAGAGAGGCCTGGTCCTCCTTGAATAGGTTTTGCCAGTATCGCGATCTTGTCTCGTACCGCTTTGCATCGGTCGTCTTATTCAGGCCGCGAGCCATTTGTGCGATAGCGAAGTCGTTGTACGAATACTCGAGTGTGCGTGAAATGCTGCGCGTCATTGTTCCGAAGCCCTCGTAGTCAAAGTCTTCCACGGGTATATAGTGTAGATCCTTCCAGCTGCGTAGACCACCGCGGCCTTCGCTAGACCAGTCGTATGGCTCCTCCTCGGCGTCCTTTTGCACGGCTGCATACCCGGCATCCCAATCAATGCCATCCCTGAGACCTTTCAGGTAGACATCTGCCAGGACATTGTCAGCGTTAGAGCCCCCTTGTGTGTGTCCTTTGCATAGTGACATTCGGCAGTCCGGCAGCCAGCCTAGATGACGCTGGGTGTCGATGAGGGAGCGCACCATCTGCATTACTGAGGAAGGATCGAAGATAGTGAGGAACGGAATTTGAGAGCGGAACGAATCCCAAAGACAATAGAACGAATCAAAGTAAGGCTCGCTGCTCTGCCAGAGTGGGTTCTCGCCTGTGTAGTTCTGCGGATTGATCATAGTCCTGTAGATTCCACTGTAGAAATTGGACAGAACGGATGCATCGATATTTGTTCTTGAGACACGGATCGGACGCATCTTGTCCGTCCATTGTTCGATTGCTGTCTGGCGAGTTGCGTTGAAGTCGAAGTGTGGAATCTCAGACTCCGCATGAGCGCAAGCTTGCTCTGTGCTGATGAAGCTAACGCCCACTCGAGCGAGGACTGTATTATCCGGGGCAGACTTGAAGCGGACAAATCCACCACCCTACAAAGTCACGGTCAGATTTTTCTGTATGTGAACAAATTTCTTCGACTCACTGGAAGTGGGTATCCATTGATACTGCGCGATATTTTTAAATCATGAACACCAGCACTAGCACGAGAATTGACAAAGATACCGCTATCTCGCTGGGCTGCAGGGCTTTTGAAGTCCGCACAGAAATGCAGGACGTATGTTCCCGATCCAAAGCTAGGAGCGAACCGCGCATCACCGGTCATTCGACCCGTCGTGTTGTCCACCGAGATGGTCGCATTGTCCTGACGGGAGTTCGACAGATCAGTGAGATCTAACAAGATCAGGGGGCTGGTGCTGTTATCATGTGGGAACTGGAAACGAAACAGGGAGGTGTGGTGCGCAGTTGTCATATCAACCCGGACGCCCGATGCCAGCTCTATAGCAAAGTATCCTGGGTGCGCCTGGACCGATTCAGGCTTATATTTCGTCTTTCGTTGATTCTTCGGATAGACACAGCCATTCACATCGTCCCCAGCACACTTTGCATAGGGAAAGAGAGGGAAATTCCCTAACGAAGGATTGCCCCCAGTGCCGGAGTCGTGCATACTGGAGAATCCGGTAACACTGCCGCCCTCGTATGCGAAGCCTCCTTGATTGGATTCTGAATCTGTGTCGGCGACGGCTTTCGCCATACCATATGGCAACGACGCGCCTGGAAACACATTGCCTGGGGAGAATTTGTTGTTGGTATGAAGTTGAACTCATCTCGTTGTTTCAACTTACCTCCGTTGGCACTACCGATCAAGGGATTGATGTATTGTAGGACATTGTAATCTTCCACTGGAGAGATATCCGCGGCAGTAACCAGGACGCGACTTAAAAATAGCGGCAGTAACAAATAGGGCACCATGGTCTAGGTTGGATAAAAATGATCAAGCGCGTGGGGAAGATCTGGTATTTAGATCCCCCCCCTTCATCCCGCACCTGCCTGGTATGTGTGCCCCTGGCGATCCCTGTCTGTTACATTCCGATCTGCATATTCCCGTATTGGATCTGGGGATCAGTTTGATGTTGTCGAGGGTAGTGCAAGGGTGTACTAGGGGTTGATTGGTGAGACTCGTGTACCCGGACTGATGGCATTGAGAAATTGTCCAAGACGAGCTTGGAAATTGGATCAATTTCCAATGCCTTCTGGCAATAAGTTTCGTAGAATTCCTAGCAAAAACTTTATTTATTCTAAGAATACTTGTAGGATATTTCATTATTAATTTCTACATAGCAGGTAAAGATAAACAATTAACAAAGGAACTCAGGAACTAAGAAGAACGCACCGTGTAACACGGTTGTGTCACCTCAGCCTCAGATTGGATATCAAATGTCAGAAAAGAGTGGACAGCATCCATATTATCACTCATTCCCACTCATTATCTTTTCTGCAAATCTCTTGTGAACGACTCCTTTGAGAGGTTAATTTCTAAATATGCAATATGATAATGTATAGTGAACACTCACCACGCCCATGAGAAACAGTTCTCTTCTTCCTGTTTCATGATCATTCCCAACTCACAATTGACAGACTCAGCGTACTTGAGCTAGGTAATGATCTGGATTGGCACACAGAGGGAGATAGTTGGTTTCAGAATTTTCATGCCAGGAGTATGGTAGGTCAACGAGAGATCCAGTGAATAGGTTCGGGATATTAGGCAGGAGTGGAAGGTTGACACAAAGGTCTTAGAGTTAGGGATGGTGATAGGGACGATGACCGAGGTGGTATAATACTCGTCCTTGCAGAATGATACCGATGGGTCGTCCGAGTTTCGGGAAGTGACAAGGTGTATTGAGTTGGGGCGGTCAGAGTCAGATGATGCTGAGTGCTTCTCCCATTCGGCTGAGGAAACACACATCGTCAACAGCGGGATAGACTTAGTGAATACACACTGGCCGCCTTGCCCGGATAATATCGCACCGGACTGGCAAGGGAAATCCGCCCAAGGAGTTGCGCCATAGAAAGTGCTCGCCTTAAGCTTGCTGGTAATTGATCCAAGTCGAGGGGGCTGCTCGTTACCCACTGGGTCAAATCGGAGCTGTACTATGGCTACAGTGCTCACCTTATCACCGGAATAACCTGGAGGGAGTAAGCGGATTGGCTTGGGTTGCGACGAGGAAGCGAGAAGCCGGCCCAGTTTGGTCCGCAGGGGTCCATGTCGTCCAGTCTTTACTTTGCTCGTGCAGTAGTAGGGATGATCGACAACATTGATAGGCGGTTCTTCTTCCACGATTGGAATGATGCGCACCTTTTTGGCATGGGTTGCCAAATATTCGAGCTGGCGGTGATCCGTTGAGGACTTCCTTAGTACAGCAACGCCAATAATGTACGAAATTCGGCTCATGTCGGAAGCCATATCATCCAACAAGGTTTGACCATCACTAGATAGCATAGGGTCACCTAAAGTCGGTGGAAGCATAGTGTGTGCACGGTGAACGTGGGGGTTTGTCAGTGAGTGCGTACAGGCCTGTGGTAGCAAACGACCTGGCACAACGAATGCGAAAGGAAACAAGTATGAGCAAGCAGGATATAGAACCTCTGGGAGCAGATACTCAGTCTCCTCAATTGTTTGGCGGAGCTCGAGAAAAATATGCTCTGACTCTATGCAGCCACACGGAACGTGATTGATGGTCGTGTGTGATGAGCCTGTGTTGTTGGCGTCAACTGAGGGTTCCTGTGGTGACACGAATAGATTCCAGAGCAAACTAACCTTGCAGCACGATTTGAACATCGTCTAAAGGCGTTTCTTGTTCAACGGTGATGATGACAGTACCATCGATTTGGTCGCCAGTGGTATATGAGTTGACAATGCGAGGTTGCTGGCCGACCAGCTGAATCTCAATTTTGGGCTGTGAAGCGACGTCGGGTCCAGGCAAATGTGTCCGAGTCATGGTTGATGGTGGAAATTATTCCCATCGCCTCGAGGCTTGTAATTTCCCTCGGAAGTAAGGCAAAGGGGGAATTAGAATGCGGATTGTCAAGCGTTTTATGGCAGAGGGGAACAGCAGACGCGAATTTGAAAATATATCCAGAGGAAGGAAATTGCCATGGACCACGCATGTAACCTGATCGCGTGTTTTACATTAATTGGTCCAGGGGAATGCAAAGGATAGAGAGTGATAGAACTGGGCAACGCATAAACGGATTAGATTACATACCCAGCTTTACCCAGGTGGTTACCAAAGATAGGTTACAGATCACTTAACCCAGGGTCATACTTGGACCATGCATGTCTCATTGGAGCTGCAAGCATTACTAACCTCATCATGGCTCATATGGCACTGACCTAGTCCCATGAACTTGCATGGGAGTCGACATTTTGTATAGATATATGGATCACTTGCGACAGTTTGGTCAAATGTGCAAATTCGACTGAATCTCGAACACCGACGGTATATCTTATATCCACCAATGTCCATAGACCAGTGCTCAACAATGCCCTTCGGAGAGGAACTGGGTTGACCAAATAGCCAATCCACGACGAGGGTGTATACATGTACCCAGTGAGGATTTGCAGTCAAGTGGGGGACAAGGCCTGATATTATTGGATGATCCATTGGCTCCACACTTAATTCAAAGAAAGAGACTCCGAGACTCCACTTTTCAATGACCTCGTAAATATGTATTGGTTCTTTTTCAGATCTTACAAGACACAGTTACAATGCGGTAGTGTTGGTGACTCTTGCCATTTGCTGCAAATCAATAGTATTGGCAATTTGGGATCATATAGGTAACACATTAATTCCCACAGAGTCAAAAATCTCCATCCAACAGAGTGGACCGAGCTCATTGCGGTTGGCGTCCACCTTCTCCCAGATCCGCTGTACTATATCCCATTGCCTAGATATGTTCGTGATCCCGTAATGATCTACTCGGTGCCACCACGATTTACAGGAATCCCGTTGTGCGCCGATGGCGTCACAGGAAGCAATAAACATCGGCCATGTGATCGGGGCCATTATGCGCACTCGACGGGATTTTGACCTCGACTTGACATGCTCGGCAGCATCTAGGTGCTCGATGATATCCTGAACTTCCTCTCTGACATCCATGGGCTTGTAATGTTGGATACGTCGGTAATAGTAAATCAATGCCGCATAATGCCAAGCTTTTGCCTGATGGTTGAACAGGGTCATCATCAAGTCATCACTTGTCACAATTGACGATATTCTCTCATTTTCCAGGCTCCAGGATAGCAGGGTATCGCCTAAGGTTTCACAGGCCTGGAGAAGATCGTCTGGGATAGGTTGTTTTTGCCTCTCGAACTGAGCCACAAATTCACCCAGTCGACACGTTTCCTGGATCATTGCGGCGATGGCTGATGTGATCCCGTACATGTATTCATAACAACTGCTTGACTGAATGGTCATATCCTCTGTGTGAGAGATGTCGGCTTCGATACCGGGCCAAGGTGACAGAGTAGCCTCGAAAGACACTGTTCGGGCCATGAGTGCTAAAAAGGCACTGATCTCATTGAGTTGCCGGGTCGAGCTACTGATCAAACTCCATTTTTTGCGCGAATTTCGTAGTTTGGTTGCAGCATCCAAGTGCACTTTGAAGTCTCCATCCCCGGATATTACCTAAAGAACATTAGTGAGTGCACTGAGAATGTATAGACGCGATAAGCTTAGCCATGCTTACTCCGAGTGTACAAAGAGATAATATTGCCATCAACCAAAATTTGTAATCTGCCCCTGGTGTGGAGGAGTCGACGGCAGCCTGCACAGATTGAATTGCATAGTGCCTATGTTTAGCACCTATATTGTAGCATCTGGTCTGGAGTTTATCACGGTTCCACAAGTGGAATGCCGCTGATGATAAAATGGCGTGATAGATCGCTGAATGCAGTTTTGCTCTGGTCGCAATTTGGTTTGACATGCTGACCTGTGCGCCTTCGATTGCAGCTGCAGCATATAAGCTGCGATATGGATTTTGGGTGTGAAGGATGGGTTGGAGAAGATCTGCAATATGATCCAAGTAGTGGAGCATCAGCTTCACAACTTCCCCATCTCCAAAAGCATTGCTTGCAATGTGCCTAATTGGAATAAGCGTTAAGCCAGACAAAGTTGGAGATGTGGATAGTGGTGTGGTATCTGAGTGCACTAGTGAATCACCCCAGTCGCATATTGGGGGGTTCTCACTCATCGTTCCATGAGCCGAGGTGAGTTCTACCCAATGATCGTGCTCCCTGATACTCCCGCCAATCTCCGTGCTGGATTGGCTGTGAATATGAAAGCCGTAGACATCGACTGCATTGTCAGAAGAAGCATTACAGGAAGGTTCAAATTGGAGTGAGGCTTGGTCTAGCTCCAAGTCCTGCAACTCTGTGTCTTGGGCATAGTCGCGGTCGATACCTATTGACCCTGCCAAGTATCCATCGGAGCTCCAGCCTGCCTGATCTCCCCCTAGCTCATCAGGTGACAGGACCAAGCTCTGGGAGGAGTCACGGTCCTCAATATGTAATGGGAAAATTGAGAAGGGACCCCTTTTCGACGATAAACCAGATCCTACATCATGCTCGATACTGGATAGGAAGTCATCGATGTCCTCTTCCTGGTACCGACACACGGTATCTTCATTTTAAAGCCGTCAGATGATAGGCCTGGTGGAAGGTATAGATAATTTCATACCTAGCAATATTCTCCGTCGCCCTTGTTTATTGGAATTTGCGACCATATCAGGCTCTGCGAACGGGTCTGATACCCACTGCAGTCTAATATCATAGCCGCCACAGGGAATACCTCGCTTCTCACAATTCTTGCATGTGGGTGACCTTTCATCACATCTGACTTTCCTTGCTTTGCATGTCCAACAGCTATTTTTTTTTAAAAAAAAGAAATAAGTGAATGCCTTTTCAAGTAAGTTTCTGGAGCATTCTGGCGTACATACCCCGTGAATGTCATGGGCCGGGGCTTTGCTTGTGCTTGCATGCTGAACGGAACGACAGTCTGCTTCTGGGACTTATGTATATTGTGCCTCAAGTTTCAATTTATTTATTGTTCTGACCCACTGGATGTATAGGTGGGACAGCGTGGAGAATTTTTCTTCATCACATCCATCTTGGCGACCAATATTAAGGTTGGAAGTTCGATGTTATGCTCCGGAGGCCCCGCATAATGACGATGAGTCATCCATAAAAACTTCCCAGGTGGGCACAGGTGGACCGTGGACCAATTGGAACCTCCAGCCATGTAGGGCCCTCACGACTAACGAGACCAAACATTTGAAGTCTACCACTTTCCTTTAAAACATGAATAATATCCTCCTGCCTGGCTTTGACGCAATATGTAGGGATTTTGGATTAAACTTGGCCGACAGAATTTATGAATTGATGACCTCGGAAGAAACTTCATCAATGGACATTGCGTACGGCGATGCTTGGGAGTTCTGGAGCTGCCTAGAGCAATATTAACAGAGATACAAAGGTGGCAGGCATCTTGTCTGAGCTACACGGGATTGATCATAGACCCTGCCTTGTCACTTTTGGAATAAATATGCTTCCTACTAGTCCTCGATGATCTCTCGATCGAACTCATCCTCGCCTTCATCAGCATTCTCTTGCAATATCTTCTCGATGACCTCCATATCTTGGATATCCCAGAAACTCCGACAAGCTTCTGCAAATGACATCGAGGAGGCTACCAATGCGCTTTCCTCGACTGCCGCGAAACAGAATCGGAAGAACAAGTACCCATGATCATCTTCTATCTTTTTGGTGGCTGCGAAGTCTCCGCCAGGAACCACCAATATTCGATAAGGTTGTTGAGTGCAGTGAAGCCACAATGCTAGCATCAAGCGCCTTGGATCGACAGATATCAATGGGTGATTAGAAATGTGGACCCGAACCCAGAGAAACATCCCGCCCATAGGCCAGTTGAATGAGAACATCTCCGTCTGTCCATGTTCAGATGACACATATCGGTTCTCCTCGAGTACTGTCGCCATTGCGTTCATACGGCGTTCATAGGTAGAGCGAAGGCCCTCGAGCCAGTTGACCCAGCCATTCAGTCCCCAGCCTGCAGGTTTCCCATTCGAGTTTAATGTGGACTCGGCAAAAGAAGGAGTTTCCAAGTCACCGAGAAGTTGCATAACTATAGCTTGGACGAATCCAGAGGGCTGCTGGGTGGTGCTATCGGTGATTCTGAAAAGCTGCTCGCAAACGCTTGGCTGGGCGGTAATCCATCCGAGTCTGCATCCCGGCGCGATGGTTTTGGAGAAAGAGTCGAGCCGAATCACTCGCCCATCCCGATCAATGCTCAAAAAGCTCGGAACAAGCTGATCAAGGAACCTATGACCAGTGGACCTGCCGCCCAGAGATCCCGTGCAATAGTTGTGATCCGGATCCGTTGGAAAGTCTGCTGACATAGGTCGGCCTCGGTACTTAGTCGCCGTTGAAAGAGTGGATGGATAGTATAGGTTCCAGTAAGGGTCATCCTCAATCAGAACAAGATCGAATTGTGAGCAAACTTCGTACAATTCGATTCGCCGTTTGAGGGAAAGTACACCAGAAGTGGGATTTTGACCCGTCCTGGTTTTTGTTAGCAGCCTGTAAAGCTTGCGGGACATGAACTCTCACGGTATAACATATACCACATGTGGCCTCTTTCCTAGTGCAGAGTTCCAGGTTTGGAGCACGTGGGACAGACTGCCATCTCCATGTGCCAATATGCCTTCTGCGTCCATCTTGATAGGAACCACATTGATACCTTTTGGCTTAATCTGGGCGATCGGTGGCCCATAAACAAACTCTTCAACAAGGAGGCCCTCCCGATCTCGAACATCATTCAGATCTGCATCCCAATTATTGAATAACAGTTCAAAGACTTTAGAGAGTCCATCCGCTGCCCCACCATTGATCATGACATCGGCCTGGCCTTCGTAAGGTATATTTGGATGGTACACCGTGTTTACTAGCTTTCGAAGCCATGCATAGAGTGGCGGATAGCCTTGGGCACTGCCGTATTGAAGGGCCGTATCCAGATCGACTCTACGCACAGAATTCGAGCCTTGGACAGTTCGCGGGATGTGCAATTTGTTTGTGAAATCTTCTGCACTTCCCAACTTGAGACCCTCGCTGTTTTCTTGTAAATGGCTCTCTGGTCTGACCACTGAAAGCTCTATGTTCTCAAATGGGAAGTTTGCTGAGAATGGAAGACCTTGTGGTGAATTGTCAGCCGAGAGATCTTACTATTTATTACTGAGGACTGGGCGGCAAATACCTCCTGCAAGGTTTCTCATGTCTGGGACACGCAGAAATCTATAGTATTCCTTGAGAACATTTGGCGCTCTCTTCTGTGAGCTTCTCGAGAAATGGCCTTTCAGATCGAACGGTCTCAAATTGGGCTCGGACATTTTTGTTGCTCGCGATGTGCCAAAGATAAAATTCAATATATCGTTGTTACTGTCGAAAAATAATCATCCGGTAACTCAGCACGAAGATGCGAACGTTTTATTACGAATAGCATGAAACCCCCAGCTGTATAGATGAAAAGGCGTGCCTAGATATCATTGGTTGGCAATGGTCTCGCAGTCACCTTCCTCGCTACCAGCCCCACCCTCGGACTTTCATACAGTATGAAAATATGTAATATCCTTTTGTGCTTCCCCAAGAAGATGAAAATGACCAATACTCTTATAATTGGTTGAGTAAAAGACAATGGTAAGGACTCCTAATTTAGTCTTGAAATCTCTTCAAAATCCATTGCCGCCGCACATGGAGGTTAGTCCTACAAATTCGTATCATAGTTCTCAAGCCCCAGTTGGTTTAATATAGAGATATCAGCATTAACACGGCACAGTGGGGTGCAGTCTCCACAGTGCGTGTTGTTCTAGTCCCCTTCTTACCTTATGTCTGCTTCCAGTTTCTACTTTCTTTTTTAAACATTTTTTCTATATCTACTCACTTTTCCCTCGCAATGCCATTCAAGACGATTGAATCTTCAAGTTACCTATATTTTATTACATTGAAATCATTACAAAATGTCATCAATTCCGAAGTCGAATACACAAGACAGGCAAGAAGATGTCTCGTTGACGATCAATCCCACACTGGACCCTATAAACCCTGATCAGGAGAACAAATTTCAGGTTGAAGTGGAAGCATTCTCATATGAATACCCCGAAGGCGGCCTATCAGCATGGATTGTGGTGGTCGGAGCATCCATGATGCTAGCCTGCACGTTCGGGATGATGAGTACGGTGGGGGTTCTACAATCCTACTGGGAGACGCACCAGCTGCAAATGTACTCATCCAGTGAAATTGGATGGATATCTTCCTTGTTTGTATTCCTGAATTTGTTGCTGGGTGTGCAAGTTGGCCCGTTGTTCGACCGATACGGCCCACGATGGGTCATGCTCATTGGTTCCATACTATACACCATTTCCATCTTTCTATTGGGATCTTGCCAAAAGTATTATCAATTTCTACTCTGTTTGGGCGTACTGAGCGGAGTTAGCAGTGCGCTTGTGTCAACTCCATCCCTGGCTGTTATTTCACATTGGTTTAATCGACGCCGTGGCACTGCGACTGGCATTGCTATGGCTGGCTCAAGCATTGGCGGCATAATTTTCCCGATTATATTGAGACCAGCATTGGATAAACTTGGCTGGGCTTGGGCTCTCCGGATCCTAGGCTTTATCTTCTTTTTCTTCCTCGCTATTGGGAATATGTGCATCAAGAGCAGGTTCTCGGTGAAGACGAGTGGAGGAACGATTAACTTGAAATGCTTTGCGGATTCCCGATTCATATGGGCCACGATAGGCGCCTTCTGTATGTTTTCCCCAGTTGATATACCAGGATGACGCTTTATTGACACCATCCAGTCGGGGAGATAGTTGTTTTTACATCACTGGGCCTGATACCATCATACGCCCTTGCTCAGGGATTCAACTCCGAGACTGGGTTTTATTTATTGTCTGTGTTTAATGCGTCTGTATATCCTATCAAACTTTCGCCCGGTGTGCGGACTAACAATGATAACAGTGGATCAGGTTTGGGTCGATGGCTTGCAGGCTTGGCCTCTGATCACTACGGTCGATTTAACACAATATCGGTCATTATGGCTGTTACCGCACTCTGTATCTTTGTCTTATGGTATCCATTTGGTCGTCTGATTGGTGTGCTGTATCCTTTTGTCTGTCTACTCGGTTTTGGAACAGGGAGCATTCTCAGTCTGACGCCTGTATGCATCGGGCAATTATGCAAGACGGAAGACTTCGGGCAGTGGGTTGGAACTTGCTATTTTGTTACCAGCTTTGGGTGAGTTCCGATCCTCTATATCTATGAGTGCTTCATCTGCTTATCCGTTTGGTCTAAGGAGTTTGGTTGGAATACCAATTGGTGGACTGCTGCTAGAAGTAGTTGGGGCCTCGAATTTGGTCGCCTTTCTTGGTGGCGTTCTTGTCATCAGTTTCATTGCTTTTGTGGTGGCGCGATGGGCATGTTTGGGATATCATTGGAAATGGTTCACACTTACATGAGATGTTATTGTTCTAGTTTTCCACCGCAGAGTTGTTTTAAGGGCATGGCGAAGCTTCGATCTTATCTTTTAAAGTATAATGGTTCGGTTGAGATATCCAAGTTTGATCAGTGCTTAATTTCTCGACCGGCATACCTCGACAGATAGTTTGCCCAATTTTAACCCTAGTGATGTGTAGGTAGAAAGAAGCCATGACCTTCCACAAACCAGCTTCATCGTGAGTTTTCACAAACGTCAATTCAAGTCTTTCATTGCCAACCATTCTCAAGCTTCTGGCGGTAATCCGTAATCATTTCAGGAGTAACATCATTTCCTCCACAAACAATGATCACAACGCGACTATCCGGTGTGAGGTCTGTCATGACTTCCCTTAGCCTATCTAACCCAACTTGAACACTTATTCCGCAAGCTAGCTCGACCTCCAACCGCAGCTCATCGCATAAACGCACAACTCCCATCGCCGCATCGGCATCGGTACCCACAATACTAGTTACTTCGACACCGGGTGGGGGGAATTGCGCGTTTTTCAGCGTCTTCTGTGCCACGCAGAGTGCTCCTAGAGTGATTGCTTGCGACGTAATTGCAGGGATAGGCTGCAAAGAACCCATGCGTAGTGAATGCGCTAGCGAGTCCGCCCCAGCTGTTTCAGCGGCAAGAATTTGAACTTGTTTCGCTTGCTTCGGAAGTGTTGTCGGTTGATAGGCTGGCAGATGCCTCTCCAGACCTTCGATAATTCCGTTCAAAAGCCCGCCCCCACCAACGCTGCAAACGATTGCGTCTGCTGGGAAGGAACAATATTTATCGGTTTTGTCGTCCACTTTGTCCCTTGGAGGTAACTGTTTGATTATTTCATCAACCAGAGTCCCCGCACCTTGCCAGATATCGTGGTGGTCGAATGGCGGAATATAAATGTTCCTAACCAAGACATCTGATTTGCTGTCCTGGTCTTGATTTTCAATGAAAGTTTCCCGCATATACGCATCAGCTTCGAACCAACTGGCGCCATGGCGGATAACATTCGAAGCCCCTGCAGCGCGTATCTTGTTGATCATCATAGGCTTCGCGCTTAGAGGAACAACAACAGTACAAGAACAACCGAGATCTCGAGAGGCTATAACTGCTGCCAGCCCTGCATTTCCTGCTGAGGAGCTGAAGAAATGCAGGGTTTTGCCATTGTTTGATGGATCGGAAAGAGATCTGAGGATCAAGTTTCCAATACCTCTAAACCGGTGTTGATTCTGTGTTAGACCTCTTTTGACACATTCGAATATAGGATGCTAAACTCACCGTGATTTGAATGAGCCAGAAGGTTGGAGCAACTCCAGCTTGAGGAAAATTCTACTGTATTTACTCTTCAGCGCCCGGGCCGTTTGGTTGAAGACAAAAGCCAAATCTTACCATCCGGCAGCCTTTGATAGTATCGCTGACTCGAGCAAAGGTGTCTCAATCCAGGGTTTCTTCAATTTTTCTGAAGCGACATGGCCCATTTTGAAGCGATTTGAGGCAAAAAATTTTCAAATCCTCCCAATAAAGTCTTCTCGGGGATGTGTGGAAATATATGAAGTTAGTAGGATAAAACAGCAATTTATATTGCGGAAACAAAAGCTAGAAAAGGTGTTATCGGAGCCTAGTCTTACCGACGCCCTTCATTTGACATTTAGCTGCAGCTATAAAGTGGGTCTTGAATCTTGTTTATAAAAGTATACTTAAACACCATATGGGGCAGTTCCTAATTAGCTTGCAAAGGAAAAGAAAAAGATTATATGGAAGAAAAGAACAGCATTTTGCCATCTGGCTTGCTATGGCCCGGGGTGTCTAATAACGTGTCGTAGACCACCCGAGCAGAGGTGCCTCCCCACATCATTCCCTTCCATCTCTTCCACATCACTGGCCTCTCTATATGAATTTCCTTTTCAACACCTGATGGCACCTGCACGAGAGGGGCGTCTGTTTCCCCTTGAGGCCAAGTCCCTTGAACTCTCGGACGTGGAAAGTGGCTTTGATCTCACACGCAATAATGTCGACTGGGCGCAGTTTAGGACTCCGTTTAAGGTCTCAGATTGCTGCCGTAAGTTTGACTTGAAAGAATCCATGTCTGGAAAAGTCTCTCATTTTATCTAGGGAAAATTCTAAATACCCTCGACAATCCTCGGATTCAGATACCACTTCGTCTGGGCATTTTTGTCAGTGACGTGCATACCACATGACTCAACCCAAATTCTCCTACCTCACCTCTGATCCCTATCATGGGCAAAACCCAATTCTTATTTGAGCCATTTGTGCTCGCTGAAATGAAGTGCTCTCTACGTGGCTTCCCTAGCTTGTCACTGTGGTATGGCCCAAAGGGCGGAGAAGACTTGGCCGTCAATTCGATTATTGTGGAAACATGAAGAGGCGAATCTGCTGCCGGTGTGGCGCAGTGTCTTGCCTATATGGGTATGGTTCATACGCAACATAGGTATGAGGATAAGGTGAACTATCCCATTTACGGCCTCTCTACGGACAATGACCGATTTCATTTCCTTATGATCTCGGGTGAAGGCAACGTGAGCAAATATTCAGTTCTTACTTATATCATGAATATTATGAGTTAAAGGGATGTGCTAATTTTGGTATGAGTGGTTACATCTGGACATGCACCATTCCGGTCATACACAGGAGATTGTTGAGACTCTTGCATACTTCCACACACAAGCCTCTTATATTATCCTCATCTTCCCACAGCGGTACATCCGAGAACGGCTCCAAGTCCTAAGTAAAATTGCATAGCCAGGACGCTTTGGCTTCACCTGCCAAAAATATATGCGAGAAGCCTTTGTCGATTTTTCAAGTGAAGACCGAAATCGAAAGTATGGATGAGGAGGATAGGGGGGTCGAGAGGGTGGAGGACAAGGAGGACAAGGAGGATGATTACTGGTGGCTGGGCCTGTTTCTCGCTTCAGGGCAGCCATAGATTCGATCCCCAGGCTGGGATCCAATATCTCAGTTGATCTCATACGATTCATACAAGTTTGCTGTAGTCCGAGTGGCTTTATGCCTGTTTGTTATCTTAGAATCCCATATTCAAGAAAAGTGAAGCAAGAATGAATGTTAATAATATATCCCTCCAGTCTGTGCGCTGTTACTGATTGCAACCGCTTATACACAGCTTTAATTCAATCGCCTTCAATCGCCGACAGCTATTCCTCCTCGTTGTAAGATGTCCCGAATCCCCGCCGGCCCCTCCCCCACCGGAGGTTATACAACCCAGAACTTTCCCCGGCGAACAGAAACCACTCGACGTGCAAAGATGTCTTCAGCAGAAGAGCAAAAGGTATTTCATTTCACGTGTATCTTAAACTGTACGCAGTGAAATACTGAATACTGACACATTATGGCACCGAAAAGACAATCAAGGAGCTCGGGGCTAACTGGATTTGGGTTCCGAACTGGACCGACTCTTCAAGCGCAAACACAGCTGGGAAGATAGTTCATTTCACGCGTTATGTTAATTTGTCCTCCCGACCGACAAAATCAGTTCTGCATTTCTCAGCCGACACACGTTACAAGCTCTATGTGAATGGGAAACATATTGCCGTCGGACCGACTCGCAGCAGTCCTTTGATCTGGTACTACGACACGCTGGACATTGCGCCCTACCTGAAAGAGGGGCAGAATGAGATTCTATTTGTGGTTGTCCGCTACTTTGTAGCTTCGAGGAGCGCAATGCCCTTCGTGAGGACGACTCTTCCTGGCTTAACAGTTACTGGGAAGGTTGAGACAGGCCAAGATGTCGTTGATGTTGCTTCTTCCAACAACTGGATGGCATCGGTCAATGAAAGCATTCAGTTTCCAATGGGATTGGCTGACGATGTGTTCCTTCATGTAAGACTGGCTCTAAATCGAAGCTCTCCCCCAGAATTGTTCTGACATTTCCTTCACAGATCAGCGAGCGCATTACTCCTACTAAACCCGGGCCTGCTTTAAAGCCATTTTCCTACAAGATAAGGACACTCAATGGCGACATTCCACCCTGGCATTTGCGTCCACGCTCGATCCCCATGCCCGAGTCAACACCAGCGGTTGTTAAAACTATCAGAGCATGCGACAGCGCAATTGATGCCGCCAATTGGACATTGTTCCTTGAAAAGCATCACTCCCTCGCACTTCCAGCAAACTCAACTCATACACTTGAAGTGCAAGCGGATGTCCACTCAACTGCATTCCTTCGATGGGCCTTCAAGGCAGCCAAAGACCCTTCTTATATTAGACTCAAAGTGACATACTCAGAAGGCTATGAGCTCGAGCCTCGGTCTTACCCTTTCTTCCGCTCGAAGGCCGACCGACTGAACGCAAGTGTCGGTCATATTATCGGACCATACGATGAGGTGACACTTGATCTTCCCAGCACCGAAACCGTTGTCTACGAGCCATTCTGGTTCAGAACCTTCCGTCTGTTGAGAATTGAAATTAATGTAGGCCCTGAGCCAATTGAGCTAGCATCCTTTGATGCTACTCAGGTAAACTACCCCATGGCCGTCAAAGCCAGCTGGAGGGAACCCGGCAATGCCCATAGTGAGCAGATCTGGGACGTCTCCATCCGAACAATGCGTAACTGCATGTTCGACGGTTACTCCGACTGCCCGTTCTACGAACAATTACAGTGAGCCTTACGATTCCCAAAGTTGACACCCGGGCTAACAATCCAGATACTCCGGAGACAGCCGCTCCGTCGGTCTATTCCACTACCTCCTCTCAGGCGACGACCGACTAATGCGTCAAGCAATTACCAACTTTGCCGCCTCAGTCACACCCGAAGGCCTCACACAGTCCCGCTTTCCCTCACACGTTCCACAAGTCATAGCCGGGTTTTCTCTGTATTGGATCCTACAGGTCTGCGACCACCACCTATACTTCGGCGATACGCGCTTCGCGCGAAGCTTTCTCTCACGCATCGACGGCATCCTCGACTTCTTCGATGCCCACGTCGACGAGCTGGGACTGGTCAGCGGACTGCCTGAA